TTCAACACCATTCAAGCGCTCAGACGCTCTCGCCTTCCTGGTCCTTCTAACAGGACGTTTGCATGCCATTTTATTATCTTTCGGTGATTTATCGAATCCAGCCTTGCCAAAGGAGATATGTCTTGGCCGCCTTTATTCGACGAATCAATACCGTTCGACTAATGAGTTATAATGTCATGAAAGCAGATGCATGAGGCGCAATCCTTCGCTCCATTGTACTTCGTGTACTTTCTCATGTCGAAACTCCGCCGCATTTGCCTGTCAATGCCTGACTCATTCGTCGTTCGTTCGTTGGTGGGGCTGACGACATGAAATATGGGTTCTAATAACAACGGTCGTTCCTTAGAACATTTATTCGGGCCACTCCTTGCCGAAAATCAGTTCATTGAATCCACCGACGTTCGACACTGCGCTCATCGTGTAAACCAGCTGAGCTGAGCGGTTCTGTACTGAGCTGTTCAGGGTACAACGAGAAATGGCAATCTCGACGTTGTAACCAGAAATTCGAAGCTAGTCGTTGACATAAAACAACATATGCCCAGAGTAGAAAGTACGTGCCGCTACTTGAACAAGGCTTGAAAAAGAACAAGGACACAAATTCCTTACCGCTTCTCCTCGAGGGAGAGGATTTGTGTGAGAACCGGTTGGAAATAAGAATCACTGATGACGCAACGGGGGCCATTTTCTCAGCGCATGATTCAACTGTTCTTACGATGACAACGTCATTCCACGTTTCATGTTCATATGTCATTATTCAATCAATCGCATCTACTGTCTGCAATCACGGAAGCATGCAGTTATTAATTAGTGACGCAATACAGCAAAGCGCTCGAGGGACATTCCTGCATGTGTTGTAAAATTAAAATTTGGCGAATGTTCGCAATATTTTCACGGACTGAAAATGATGCTAATACAGTAGGTTATCCCCACCGTACAAGGGGCCGTTTTAGCTGGGAATGACGTAATAGTTAGTTAGTTCCGTGTGTCCGTAACAACAGAAGCGGTAGGCACAAGTCTACAATGTATGTATTACGAGCGGTCCTAGAGAAAGTGTCTGAGTAAAAAGCAGCGAGCACACAGCACACCTCAAGGGGCAGGAAACAACATTAAAGTCGATCTAAGCGCTGCTTTTATGCGAAATTCTAAACATTCATTGCACTTGGATACGAAACGTGGATCTGAAGCCTGATAGCTATTCATAATCTGCAAACAATGAAACGCAATATCGGCAAATGTACCTTGTGAATAACAAGAAAAATAGAAAAACCAACGAATAAATAAGAAAAGACACAAACCGGAGTGTGTGACGTCATTACACGAGTGAAGAGGTTGAAGTGACGTAGAGCAAGACACGAGGCAAAAGGAATCGGCCATGGTTTGGCCCAAAGAGGTAATAAACTGGATTCAAAGAAAGAGCAGACGGTCCACCGGAAGACCTCCAAATCGTCGGTAGGTCGAGCTGAAGTTCGTTAGATCAAGAAGGATAAGAATGGCAAAGGCAAAAGCTTTACAAACTCAAATATATATTGTATCACGTTGTGTTTGGCCAAGTCAGAGACGGGATGCCAACGCATAAATTTTTTATTAAGGAAATCTTACAACAAGTACTAACATTTTAGACGCATAGAAACATCACCGCTTACTGTAATGTTCTTAATGAAAATTCTGTGCATTGTAATCCCGTCTGTGACTTGTGCAAACACAATATCTTCTTTGGCATAACGATCTCACGAACTATTCGCAAAATTGTATTTTTACATATTCATAATTAGACAGTACTGCTTAATTAGTACTGTATCAATAGTTTCGCACAGAATTAGAGGATGCACCGTTATTATCGAATTGCCAAACAAACAGAGTTTCTCCCTTTTCGATGAAGCTGCTACGGAACTGAGGCAGATTGCGAAAAGTCGGTGACCAGGAACCTGCTGCACGCGATCTTGCAACTGGGAGGGGGGACGCCGCAGCACAGCGACGACTGTCGAGATCGACAGTACGACGGTGGGTATGGCAGTGAGCAACGGAGCCGCTGCTAGTTCTGCCCGTTGGAGCAGAGAGCGCGATACCAATACAGCCATCAAAGTAAGCCATCAGTCAATCAAAGTCGAATGACAGGGACTTGGGTCAGGTATTGCGAAATATTATTTCAACGAAAGACTTAAACATTTGCATCTGTCTGAGGGCTCAAAGACATGCGTTGTAAATGACCAAAAAGCGTTTTGGTGATCATTCTTCAAGCCGTCAGGGAAAGTGCTAAATTGATTTACAAAGGCAGATTCATTAAAATGCTCATTTTATGTGAACGAAACATTTTTAGCACTTAGAGGATCGTTATCGATCGAAGTTTAAGCAGCAATTTAATTTGATCAAGGCTACCACTAATGGTTATTAGTTTAAGTGTGCATTTTCTACTTATGTATGTTTATCATGAGGTACACTGAATCCCAAAACAGCAAAGAGGAATTCGTTTGCTGTGGCTGTTCCACATTTGAACACTTAACAAGTGATGAGAAGCTTTGCTGCAGTCAGGGAGATGAATAGCTTCATTATTTAAAGTTATGAACGTGTACGATGATTGGCGGAACGACTTTGAAACCGAGTACTCGATCGGTCATTGCCAGAACTGCTCAGCCGCATTCATTTTCGGTGGTCCAGCAGTTTCAGAAAAATTTTCTTGTAAATTTCCTGTTTGACAGAGACAATGCAAAAGCTACAACAAATTTGGAGGATATACAAAAAAATAAAACCCGGTATTACGAGTTTACTAGCATACTACTGCTTTATTGATACTGCCGCTGAGATATATAATTTTTTTTTAGTTTTTGATACCGGACTGAATCGGCCTAAGCACCGTCCTTTGCTTCTGCAGACCACGCCTCCATGGTGTTTGAGCTTTTGCGGTGCGCATGAATGCAAAGCCACATTACTAAGCAGGACCGAACAAGGGCCTTCATTTTTCTGTTTGAATATGGCTACGGATCAGGGCATATTTGCAGGTGTTCGAACAGGTCCGTGGAGCCATCGCCTGCTTAAACGGTCCCCTAGGCCACTAGAAGCAAAAGCTCGGTGCTTACGCCGCTTCTTTCGAAAAGTGAAATGAGTCAAAATTGGGGGAGGTCCGTCCTCATCAACATTCAGGCATGCGAACCCACATTATTCAATTCATACCGTCAACGTACCGCGGATAGCGTGAAACTTTCGATGGGCTTTCTGGTTCTACGGTTGGCAGTTTTCCGTGTTTCCAGCCACGAAATTAGAAAACCTATTAGCTTTATAATCGAATATTTTCGATATTTCAAGAAGCCATGCAAAGCAGCTGTCTCTTGACATAATTCTACGGTGCTGCTTTAGACAATATACCCATCCGATGCGGGCCCATGAGTAGCAGGTGTTGAAAACGGAATTGAAATACACCGTAAAAATCAGTTCAAGTTCCATTTAATAAAATACTCAGGCACAGGAATAAACGTACTTATGCCAATTTCTAAAATTCTTCATGAAACTGGATTAATACGACAGTTACAACGGAAACTCTGCACCTTCGGATGTATCATTTATCGAAATGAGGTTCGACATGATTAGACAAGCGTCACAACACCGCAGTCTGGAATGCGTTCGTTTCAGCGCAGCTCCTCCTTCTGGTCAAGGGGTCACAACTGCAGAATGGTATGAGCGTGCAGAACGTTAGCGACGGGGCTTTCAAGAACGATCCTATGTGGTACCCATGTGAAGAGTGACCTTGGCAGGGTGGACGCCCCTGATTTCACCGTCTCTTTGAACGGATGAGCAAAAGGAACTCGTTGATTGACGGCAGTACAAAAGCACGGGAAAAGTCTCGAAAAGCTGCTGAACCTGGAAACCAAACGGAATAGCACGTGTCGAAAACGAGTGAATGAACAAAAGTCAACAGAATGATTTAATAAATGAAATAATGAATAATAACCGAATAAACGATAGGAAAAATGAGTGAACAGACAAACGAATAAGCGAGTAAACGCGTCAGTGAATGAATCAGTCAGAAATGAACTGACTGATTTGTTGAATGAACGGCTGAAACGGTGAACGAAAAAGCAAAAGAGCAATGAGCGCATTGACGATTGAACGAATGAGTGAATGACAGAGCCAGTTTTCGAATGAATGAACCTGATTAGCATTCTGCTTTGTCTGCCTGAACCAATATTTGAACGATATCCCTGAAAGATTGAATAGAACTTGCAATGAATGTAACGTTGT